TCCATATGTGTATCTTATAATTTACTTATATGTCACTGCATATATATGTATGTTCAGATATGTGTATATAAATAAATATATATGTATATATATGCGTGTGAGTGCGTGAGTGTGCATTTTGAGTTATATATATATGTGTTTCAGTGTGTGTGTGTGTGTGTGCGCGCGCGCGTGTGTGTGTGTCCATTCTTCTTCTTCTAAGTGCCTTGTCCTTCCAGGACGTTGGTGATCATGGTCTTCCAGCTCTTTCTCTCCTTTGATAGCAATAAGAATTCACAATCACTTCCACCAAATGGAAAATTCTTGTTCAAGCTGGTAATCAACTTCTGTCTTTGTCTCCCCCTGCTCCTCTTTCCTTCAATCTTTCCTGTTAGCACCAGGTTTTCCATTCCTTCAGATCTCAACACATGCCCAAGAAACTGCATTTGTCTTTTCCTGATTACCTTCATCAACTTTCTCTTTACTCCTGCTCTTTCTAAAACCTCTTCATTGCTCACTCTGTCAGTCCATGATATTCTTAAGACTCTTCGTCCATACATATGTGTATAAGCATATACATGTATATATGTGTGAGAGAGTACACACACACACACATACATACATACACACACACACACACACACACACACACACACACACACATATATACATATACACTCATATATATGTACAAACTCATTTATTTATATTTGTACATATACACACATATATATGTACAAACTCATTTATTTATATTTGTACATATACACACATATACATATATGTATGTATATATATATATATATATATATATATATATATATATATATATATATATATATGGCTGATAAGAAGAAAAATAAAGTGCCCCAATGTCTGGCATCCTGGCTTTAAACACCGCCTCCTTCAATTAAACCTGCCCAGACCTGTAACAAAGCTACTGTACAGCTTTCTGGAAAACGGAAAAGTTGAAAGTTGGCCAGATAACAGGGGAGGAATTTAACTACAAAGCGGATTTCCACAAGGAGTGCGGTCCCTCCCACATTCTACATAAGAAACACATCACCTATTCTTCCTCCATCAAGAGACTACAAATATATAATCATCTGACATCCATCCCCTGCAGCCAGAGTTGCCACAAAGCTATTGCTACACCGAATGAGTTTCTGATTATCCCAGCTGCAAAAACTACGGCAACCTCATTGCTGGCAGTACTTTAACCTAGCTTTAAAAAAAATCAGGCTTCACTTATACAAAACTACAAGAACTACAAGTGACTTACAGTCTCGAACCGATTAACAGACACAACTGACTGATAGAACACGGGACCACTTGATGTAGGTAGAAGACACTAACTATGAGCAAATCATCAATGTTCACAAGAACACCGAACAACACAGATGGTGACCAAGAAGCCTGACAAGCGCAAGAGTAAATCCCGTGAACCGATATAGGTAAAAATTTAGAGAACTTTACCAAGAAATAGTAACCGGTTAATCACTTGAAAAAAAAGAAAACATTACATGGAACGTGTATATGAGTATCATTAAGCGTTTGACCAGTAATAGACTGCAATACCCACACATGAATGTGCATTTATGAGCGATAGAGAAAGAGAGAGTGAAATGCCCCAACCCCCCGGGGATGGTATCTCTCATCCTCTAGGTGGACTGCCTCATCGACGGAAGAGAGTTGATAAAGAAAAAAGTAAGAAAAGGTAAACAGTACGTCCTAAGTATTCATCAACTAGGACACCTTCAAGGGCAAATCCGGAGTTAATGACAAGCAACTGCACGAACATACACCTGAGCCTGCACCTCTTGCAGCTTCACCGAAACAAATTGCAAAATAAATGCTGCATTAGAACATCCCCAACACAAACTTCTTTCTCCTCTCCCATTAACAGTTCCTTTAAGCTAGCTACGATCTCAGGTCTCTTTCCTTCCTTTCATTCGAAAATCTAGGTTCTCTACTTCCCTTGGTCATTTTGCATTGCAATGTCCTTTATGCTCCGAAAAGGCAATGCATCCAAAGGGCCTCGACATATTCGTGTATTTTCTTGTTCTTCCCTTTGTTGCTTTATTTGTATCGCGGAAGACGTCATTCCTCTGGTGTAAGTCTGATGGGGTAGAAGGCGAGTCATTTGCTGCTGACTTTCTTTATCGCCGGCTTCTCATACTTCCATACTTCACCTTATAAAGTCAAACTCAAGTCACCAGGCATTAAAATTGTAGACACAAACACACAGTCACATACGCAAACACACACAGAAAGAGAGAGGCGGATAGAGGTAGTGAGAGAGAATGAAACAGAGGTAGAGAAAAAAAGGGAGAGGGATGATTCGCGCTGTAATTAAGTCGTATTAGATGCAAGTACCCCCGATTACAATACTTAAACAGTTATTTATAAATTTTAACAAAAATCTTCGTAAAAAAAAAGTTTCGCAAATCACCAGGCGTTGGAAATGTAGACACACACACACACACAGATAGAGAGATAGAGGTAGAGGGAGAACGAAACAGTGGGAGAGATAAAAGGGGAGAGGGATGATTCACGTTACAATTAACTCCTCATAAATACCGTTGGCCAGCTCCGCTATCATTTTAAACAGTTTTTTTCCTTACCAGGCTTTTTTACAACACCGTGAGACTCCATTTCCTGACCCGCCAGTGAAAAATGCTTCACTTAGTGTTGCGTCGTTTCTGGGTCATCCATAGAACGCTATAGTGGCTGCGAAGAGAGAATAGACAACAGTAACTATCACGCTTTGATATCTGAACCCATTAAGTATCCTGAAAGTCGAAATAAGTGTTTGCAGACTAAACACTTATTGCAGAGAATCGTCAGAGCTTAAGAAAAAATCGGTAATTTCGTTATACATTGATTTATAGTGTAAAGAAGATGGGAATCCAGGGCGCGGTTCCCTCTGGCTGGCTGCACGACCATGGGTTAGGTTAGGTATTAGGTTAGGACGTTTTGTCTGGGTCTTTAACGACCACGGATGTTACGCGTCGGCCCATAGATTTCCAAAGACGGCGAGTATATCCGTAGGGTTTCACCTGCCGATTTTAATCGTTTTCTAGGGTGATTATTACGCATTTTTGTTCCATATCCTTTCTACTTCAGCATGCTTTACCTTTTTCCTGATATACTTCATGCCCTCTTCTGCTCTCAGGGAAAAGGTCATCAGATATCCCCAGCGATTGATTTGCATAAGGAACAACACCCAGAATTGTTTAAATCGGCGAATTTCCTGAAAAAAGAAAATTATTTCGAAATCGAGCTACTGTCCCGTTCTCCACATTGACCCGAATATCGGAGTCCGTTATTATTATTATTATTATCATTATTATTATCATTATTATTATTATAATGATGATAATGATTATTTCTTTTTATACATTAGATTTTTTATTTTACTTATTTATTTACTTTTGCTGTATATGTCATAAAATGTATATTTCTTACACCTTCCTTCCAAACACTATGAGTATTGAATATATTAAAAAATATAAACCCAATGCACTAAATTATGCGATTTAATATAAATTCTTCATTTCATATTTCTTGACTTTCTTTTCTGAAGTAAATAAAACTCTTCCGTCCAAAAAATATGAGAGTTGAATATATGAAAAATGTAAACCCTATGCACTAAATAACTGAATATAAATTCTTTAATTCATATTTCTTGCCTTTCTTTTCTGAAATCAACGAAATTCCCTCATCTTATGCATCTCTATTTGCAATATTTTATTTCCCAAAATAACAGTTCTTTCTTTGATATATGTACACACACAGCATGTGTAGTATCTGGCAATACAATAAGAAAAGTCATAAGTAATTCTTACATTAGAGAGTTTGGAAAGACAAAAGTAAACAAAGTGTTCGAAGCGCTCGAACGCAGTGTCGAAAAATGCTTCGGTCCCGAATCCTTGTTTAAGAAGTAGGGATGGCGTCGATTCATGAAATGTGGTTGATATGTTACAGTGGCATGGATGTTAGTGTATATAGATGTGTAATATATTATGAAAACATACACTGACACGCATACTAAGGAAAATACGTAAATTCCCCATATTCTACGACTTAAAATAGAGCATCCGAGGGGATATGGGAAAGATAATAATTTAATGGATGCATTTTCTTTCTCTTGAAGACCCGAATCGTCTTACTCCATGATGGCTTTGCTGACTCGTTCATGACCTGCCAGTCAATGGTATGCATTCCAGAGGTGGTCTTATCCTTTCCGTTGATCACTTCGACCATTTGTGCCATGCAGTGCCATCAACTCCATGGAGTGGACTACATTTATAAGAGTGAGTAGTGCCGACTTGTCATTTTCACTTTCTTTCTCCCCGCATTGTCTTGCACACGCACAAAAAGTGAGGGAAGTTTACAAACTCAAACTGGGTCGTGATGATAAGTTTGAAGAACCGGATTTATAGGAAAGTTTTTTTTTAATGCTAGTGGTCAATAATAAAGACTGATGACTATAGGCCCCATCCTTGATGAACAGATACTCAGGAAAAGGACAGGGACCTTTCATAAGAGAGCCGCTGTATATACTAGACAATATTCATTAGCATTCAAGGAATCTGAGCATTGACTTATAACCGGTTATATCAAGTTGCTTTCCCTCGGTGATATATAAGAAGAGATTTTCAGAGCCGCTGCAATTTTACAATGCTAAATTCCAAAGCATTACCCTTTTTTCTTCTGTTTTAAGAGTCCCTTCTTCAAATAAGATTCGTAACTACATGCTGAAGGCGCTTTGGAATCACCCGAGTATATTGCGCCCTCCCTTTTCTATGCTCCTTAGCAAAGACCTTATTACTTCTCTTTGCTCTGGGAACCACTCAGACTTTATCCAGAGGGGCACTATCTGTTAATACAAGTGTGTGGTTTCTCCAAAAGTACTCTTTAGAACCCACACTAAAATATATATATTCATACAGGTTACTTATGATCTAATTTCACCCTTAGAGGTAACTGAGAGAAGGGGATAATATCAAACCACTTAATAAGTTTACATTTGTTGTTGATATATTGAGTTAAAGATCATTACATTTCTACAGTAAAATAAACTTTCATCTACAAAAAAAATGTCCCAAATGGTTGTATTCCAACCTGTCACTTTTATATTTCTGGTTCTTCTCAGGTGTCTTCTTTCCTTGTCTTCATCAATGTCCTGGGCTCTTTCATTCTGGTTCACAGCCCCAGGGACGCATAAATCACAACTTCAGAAGAACCCAACAAACCATAAAAAAATAAAACAAAAAAAAAAAAAAAAAAAAAAAAAAAAAGAAAAAAAAAACACTCCTAGAAAAGAAACAAAATTCTAGTTTAGGAATGATAAACAATATAAAGTTATTAAATGTAAGTAAATCAGTTCTTGTAAGATGAAAAACAATATTTCTTACAAACAAACAAATTATATATCTATGTTACTATATACGATCTGAGTAATATATTATCGTAATATTTGATTAAATATCATTATAATATTATACAATTATGAATGCCAAGAACACTTACTCTTTGAATGGGTTTTAAATTCTTATAAACAAGAGAGACACATCGGATGTTATTCAAGAGCCATGTGCCATGTGCC